AGGGGGGGCCCACAACCTACCAGGAGGGTGAACTTGCCACTGAGCAGCGCCGAGCGCAGCGGCTCCTCGTGCGGCTTCAGCTTCACGATGCCCTCCTTCAGCCGCGTCTCCTGCGGGCAGGGAGCTGGTGTGACCCACCACCACATCCCCATGGGGCACCCAGCCCCCTGAGGGGAACCTCTGCTCCACGGCCCCGTTTTGGAGCAAGGGGAGAAGCAGCTTTGCTAAACCAGGATGGGAAAGGTATGAGGTGTGCATATATCCTTTATCTATGGGGAGATGCCCTGCGGCATCACACACACTGCTCTCAGCAGAGGGGACGGGGGTCACCAAGGTCTCCATAGTGACTGGCCATGGCTGAAAAAGGATTTTTCTAGCCAGATAAAACTCATAAGGGAGTGGGAGGAAGACAAAAAGCAGCCTGAGAAAATTGGGTGACAAGCTGAGAACACTGGGGCAGTGTTCGAGGCCAGGTCGGACACAGCAGCTTGGAGCAACCTGCTCTGGTGGAAGGTGTCCCTGCCCGTGGCAGGGGGTTGGAACTGGAGGAGCTTCAGGTCCCTTCAACACAAACCTGGCTGGGATCCTAAGGGGAGTGTCATCCCCTGGGACCAGAGATGTGTCGCAGAGCTGAAGCCCTCCCCACTTACCCGGTAGGAGTGGAAGAGCTCGATGGCCCGCAGGACGTCAAACTTGCGGGCCATGAGGAACTTGACGGCCACGTTCCAGGAGAGCGGGGACACATTGTACTGGCCTGTCCACTTGTTGATCTCCTCCAGGAACTGCTTGGTCGCCTGCAGGAGAGACGAGGGGTGTGCAGTGGGATGGGGAGCAGTGCCCCAGGAGCATCCCTGGGCATGGCGAGAGCTACACGGTCCTCGGTGCACAGGCAGGAGCTGAGCACAGCTCAGCAAACCCAGCAGCTCCTCAGGGGGAAGCTGGGAGCTCTAGAGCAGGTACTGGGAAAGGAGGATGGAGATGGGGCAATGCCAGCGTGGGGAAGGGAGCCAGTAGTAGGGTGCTGGCACTGGAAAAACAGGCTTGGGGCTGGGGGAGACTCGTGGAAGGGAGAGGGGGAGTGAAAGGAGGGTTTTACAGGCAGCAAACTCCTGTTCAGACACAGCAGCCCCAGCGCAGAGGGAGCCCGTCAGCCAACAGTAGCCTCCCAGGGCTGCAGCTCCGCTGTGGAGTAGCAAATGTGGCCAAGTGACCATGGGTAACGAGGGCTCACGCTTCGACATGCTCAGGACACAGAGCAGCTCACCCAGTAAGGCCAGTTTCAATGGCCATGGGAGACCAGACAAGAAGGGTTCAGTGCAGGAGGGTCCCAGGATGCTCCCACTGCTCCCCACAGCCCCATAACACACTGGGGCCATCCCGCATGAGCACACTCCCCTCCCAGAGCACCCAAAATCAGGAGAAACCAAGACAGAAACTTTTCCAACCCCAGCACTGATGGAGCAAAGTCACAAAACGAACCTTCAACCTCCCGGCAGGCTTCCAGCCCTGAACACCAGCAAACTAACCCCAAAAGGTAGGATTTTCACAAGCTGCTTGCAAGGTGGGCTCAGGGTTTCTGAGTTTCACACGCTAATGGAAACATCTTCACTTCGTGCTGTGCCAAACAGGAGCCCTGAGGGGGACCACGCAGCGCTCAAAGGATGCGGGCAGGATGAAGGGAGTCCCTGGAACACGCTGCTCCCACCCGGCGCCCCCAAGGCGGAGGGTTTCCATCCTCACAAGAGCAGAGGGTGCCGTGACAGGCACAAGAGGAGGAGGGAGAGCGGGCGCTGAAGGCAGGCGGCGGTGTTGGATGTCAGGCACGGAGTCACTGGAGCTATTGAGCCAGAAAAGCTCTCAGCATTAATGACTTCGGGCCGGAGGAAGCTGAGGGCCAGGGTTTATCGGTGGCGCGAGGCTGGCGGGGGCAGCGAGCCCCTCTCATGGCATGAGCCAAAGGAGCCTGACTCATCCAAGGGGTCTCATTCCCGGCATCGGAACAGGCGGGTTCCAAAGGGATACGGGCTCATCTGGCTGTGGGAAGGATACGGCCAAGGATGCTTAGGATCACTAAGGAACAGCTCAGACCCCCTGCACATCGCAGCCAGGAGCTCCCTAAGTTGGTGCTGGAGTCTGGGCAAGCACCAGCCACGACGCACCTGAAAGAGCATCTCACGAGCCCGGCTCTGAGCCCTCCCCTTGGCAGCGGGATTGGTCCCCCCTTCTCTGCAGTACTGGGGGACAAGGGACTGGAGGGGAGAGGGCAAAGTGGGGTGCAAAGGAGACAGAGCATCCAACACCCCCCTCCCAGCCAGTGCCAGGCAGGAGCCTTGCCTGGGAGGTGCCGGGACACCTTTATCCTCACGGCTCCGTCTCCAGCAGCCTCTGCTTTGCCAAAACAAGATCGGCTCTTTCAGGGCCCAGATTTCCAACCACTTCCCCACTGTTGAAGAGGGACGGGAAAATAAACGGGGCAATACAGAAATCACCTTCAGCCCTAACACAACACATACATCCACGTGTATATATATGTATCGACCCTATCCATAAGCTAGGATGGGGAACGTACCTCTGGCTTTGCCAGGGAGTCCCCCAACTGCCCGAAAGCTGGGCTGGGGATGCAAACCCAAACCAACAGCAGAGATGCTCCCTCCCCAGCATGGCACGGGGATGCCAGGCACATTCCCACTGCCCTCGGACCAACACCAGAGCCCACACCACAGCTGGAGATGGGAAAGACACCCTGTGATGATGGGAACGATGCCCCGAGGGGGACAGTGGCAGCGGCAAGAGGATGTGATGTGTGATTCAGTGTCTCCTTCCTCAGCATCCAGCCCACCACGCTGCACGCAATCTCATTTCCAGCATCCATCACGAGGGATGCCAGGCTTTTTGCAAGGAGGGAGGTCCTCAAGAACAAGCATTGCCTTTGCAGCCATGAATTCCAGCTTTCCCCTGCTTTCTCCAGGAACAAAACAACATCCCAAGCTTACCAGTGCCGATACTCAACAGCAGGCGAGCATTACCGAGCCCAGCATCAATACCAGCTCCGCCAGCTCCCGTCATCGATCCCATATGGATTCAGAGAGGTGTGGAGCCGGGAGCACGGGACGGCTCTGGGGTGGCAGCAGGCAGCCGTGTCTCTGCGAGCAGGGGTGACACGGCCCGTGGCCGGGCACTTTGAACAATGCTGCTCTATGGAGCGCTGGCGTCATCCGTGGCCCCGCTGCGCCAGGGCAGGGTGGTGACAAAGCCACCGCCACAGCACATGGGGCTCTTCAAACCCACCCTCCTTCTTCAGTACTGGGGGAGGAATAAAGCCTGCAACATGGCAGCTGGGCTAAAACCCCCGAGGAACATCCGTTTGCTCCCTCTGGGATAGGCTGCAGAGATCCTACAGAGCAGGACACGGCCCAGGGCTGGCAGGGAGAGGAGAGGGGTGACTTTGCCCTGGGCGTGCTGCTGCTCCAGTCCCTTGTCCCCCACTATTGCTTGGAGAGTGGAGCAAGCGAAGGAAATCCCGATGATCCCAAGGAGGATGGGAGGGTGGCAGG